GGGGGTGTGAGTGTGTGATGAGGAGCGGAGGAGTAAAGGGCTGATTGTGTCTTGCAGGGCTTTGCCGAGTCAATATTCCACTTGGTGGCAGAGAAATACAGCGAGCTGGCAGGCAGCTGCACCCCCTTGCATGCGCCTCGCAAAGTCTTGGCAGGCATCGTACTGACCAGAGGTATGGGCTCATTTCATTCACTTTTCCATACAGCCAGAGGGGCGGCCGACAGGTTAGGGTCCCCTCCCTCGCCCCTCCCCCCACCCCTCCCGCTAACAGAGGGCGCAATACCTAATAAATATGTGTTTAAATGATCTTTTTAAAATCACGAAGGTGCAAACAGCTGCAAAAGTTTGCCCCTGCTGCACGCCTTCCCTCTGAACGCTGACCTTTGACCTTGGGGCGTCGAACGAGTAAATATTTCTCTGTGCGGCCTTGACATAACGTAAATATGAATGAGTGCTGCAAGGCCTTGTGTCGGTAGGTAGCATTGTGAATGGCGGGATTGAGTGTAGGCCTTTGAGAAGCGACTTTGGAACGCACTATGGTGTATCCATATCAGCCTGGAACAGGGGTTAGCCGTCCCTATAACTGATGCAAGCCTGGGTTTGAGAGCAAGTTAATCCTTGCAGTTTAACGCAGGCATGGGCAATCTTGCTAATTGGGGAGATTTGTCTTACTTCCATGCGGCTTGGCGGTGTCCTTGAGAATGGCCTTATCGTATGTTTTGGAATCGTTTTGGTTTTGGATGGCGCCCCCCCCTCCCCGCTCCTTTGAGAGAGAGAATTGACGGGTCCGCTCTGTCTTCAAACCGGCCAGGCCCGCCTTGATCTAACCCAGTTACTGATGTTCCCCCCGGCGGCCGCCGATTGGTCTGTTTGTTTCGGTAATGGGGGCGTTATCTTCACATAGCCAGCTGCGCGGCCGCCGGCGAACGCGGTGGGCGCCAGAACTCGACGGCAAGCGGGGTTCTGAGGAACGGGCCCCCCCCCCCCCCAGGCTCCTGTGGCTGCTGATGGAATCAAAACGGAGTGATGCATCATGGGAAATAATTCATCTGGGAGATAAGGGCCTGTGCTTGTGCTGAGCTCTTTATCCACAATAAAATGGAATTAAACAGATAAGTTAAATATATAAGTACATAAAATGAAATAGGCCTACTTTAAGATACAAATCTGTAATAGATGGTAGAGACAGTGTTATTTCCAGTTAAATAGGCAGTTTTGTTCAGGCATAAATGTGTGTTTTGGTCTAGCTGCTGTTTTAATGTCTGATTCTTTACAATTGAACACCTTATATTTCAAAATGTAGCAATAAATTGGTTTGTGTTCAATGCCTAACAGTATGAAAGTGTCATAAAACAGCCCCCAGAGAGGTCAGGGAGCCATCATCTCAGGTCTCGTCAGCAGCAAATCAGCGGGGAGACAGAGGGCTTCTGTTCTCTCCAGAATATCTCCTGGGTCCCCGGCACAGCCTGGCGTTCACACCTGACCTCCACTTCACTTCCTATCCTCATCTTGTGAGCCAATCAGAAGTCTGCTTTCGGCTCCTCTAATCAGCATCGGCTCTGCTGAATACCAGCCTCTGCCTCCTGTAGGGTTCCCGGACCCCACCATTTACTGCATTTGAGAGTCTGATACTGCATCGGGATGTTGCAGAGCGCAGTGGCACTTCCGAGAGCCTCTTTTCCCTTTGAGAGTGACCTGAGAGGTCGACCAATCCCCTCGGTCTCTGCGTCCGAGGCTCCCCCTGTCTGTTCTCTATCTGGAACATCCAGGTTCTGTGTTTTTTAAGGATCGGCCCACACCAGAGCTGAATAATCTCAATTTCACGCAGAATTAAACAACTGGAACGTTTCCAGCTGGCATCCTGTCCCGAGTGTCCCCCACCTTGCGCCCCGTGTTGTCTGGGACGGGCACCGGGCACCGGGCACCGGGCACCCGCAGTGACCTCACTGGATAAATGGTTAGAAGATAGATGGATCGGGTGGAAAATTTTCTCCTGCTCCTCAGCAAGCAACTTAGGAGACGACGGAAGGAGTTTCTGTTCCATTTGTCGGCCAGATGAATAAAACGGGCAGGGAATATCGAAGGGGGCGCCTTTGTTTACGGCTTTGCCGCGGAAAGGAAATCACTGCTTGGAGAAATAACAGGGGGGTGGTACTGGCATGGCTTTCAGCAGAGCCCCAGCAATGAATAAATCTTCCAGGCCCAGGCTTGCATCTTGGGGAGGGGGGGTTAGTCTCATTGTGAACTGGCACCCTGCTAAAGTCCCGCTGATGGATGGTGTTAGCGGGTCTCCTGGAGCAGCGTGCGCGGCCGCTATGCCCCGACTCGGGGCTCGTTACTCACAGCCTGTCACGCAGTTCATCCAGACCGCAGGCAGGGGGCCTCGTTAAGCACACGTGCATTACGGGGCCGCGGAACCGCGCGAAAGGGCTAATGCCGCTGTCCCGACTCCTATCATAATGCAGCCTTTGTATTATCAAAAGGCATCAAGTGCCATGAAGAAGAATGTGACGAGTTGAATGGAATCAGAAATAGAATCGGAATGTGAAAAGTGGACGGAATCACAATAAGAAAGAATTTTGATTCGTGTGTTTCAGATTACTTGTTTTTCTGAGGTTTCCATTGTCCTTTGTTAATATCCAGGGTGAGACGTCCCTAGAGAGAGTGTCTAATGAAAGGTATCAGAGGAAAGGTATGAGAGGGTCTCACCTTTCACCTCAGCGCAGAACCCTCAGACAGAGCCTGCAGAAATTAAAGATCATAGGGTACATAACCCCCCGCAAGGTGTGACAGACTCCTGAACATTGAGTTCTGGGAGGAGATAGAAATCCTCACTAGAATTGAACTTGCTTAACAATGCTTGGTCCCACAGGATTTGCAATAAATCCTGCAGAAGTGGGTCTTCGCTTCGCTCATGCTGTGGCCTTTAATGCCAGTCAGACTCCACAAAAGGCCTCTTTCATATGAGTGTCTTACTTGCCGATAGTATATCAGAACCCTGGACCAGCCCGCCTAAGATAGTTAATCAGCTTAAACCAAAGAGAAGCAAGTGGGTAAATTAAACATTAAACCACGAGACTTTGGGTAAACAAAAGATTGGATTTTTCTCCCTAAACCTTTACGGTAATAAAATATTACACTGTTTGTAGTTTTACAGCGGAACAATTATTTACACACATTTTTTTTTCCAATTACCCTGCAGATTTAACAAGGACTGAGTCGCCGTTCCTCTCTGAGGGCCGCGTGTCTTCATAAAAACATTAGTCTTCATTAGTGCCATGTCACTGCCAGACGGAGGTCAGCGGGCTAGATCCTGAAAAGCCTCAAATCTACAGGGTCCAGCTTTCAGAAATACAATTTAATTAATGTCTGGCCGACACCTGAGATATCAGGTGAGCTGAGTCACTGTCCAAATAATGACTCCAATAAACCAGCTGAAAAGAGCAGCACAGCCGGCCGCCCGGGGAGCAGCCAGTGTCCAGTGAATAAAAATAAGCCCAAACCCAGTTTGCAGTGCCTGCTGATATTACCACCCTTATAAACAGCCGCCTTCGCAAACACCAAGGAGCATGCTGCCTTCATTGAGTCCCCCCCCCCGCCTCACCACTGTATTACTCAGATTATGAGCAAATTGTTGTTCTTGGCGACGGACCTGTGAGCCTGCAATCATCCACTGAACCTTTTATACTGAACCTTTTATCCAGCCTGGGTCTAATCCAGCTGGTTTTTGTGTTCCTTCAGGATTGGTGAATCTTTCTGTCAGTCACTTGCTCTGAGCTGAGGCACACAAAGCTGACATACTCATTGTTTATGGTTTAGACTGGTCCCGGGGCTTTTGCCTCAATCGCGACTCAGGTCTCAGGTACCCCCCCCGTAGCCAGTCCATGATTTTGTTCTGTTTTTGTTCTGTTCCAGTGAGCTGGGATGTTGCTGCCCCCTTTAATAGGCAACTCTGGTGCAGAAAGCGAACAGTAGGGGGCTCCACTCATTCACCAGACCTATGAGACAAGGTCCTCACTCTGTCGCCGCATGTCACCACAATGCTTTTTTGGTGTCTTCGCTCCCGTGTACCTCTCAGGATTAGATCTCCGACGGGCCCAAGTGGTAGCCATAGCGACCGGCACAAAGTGCCTCAACGGTGAATACATCAGTGACCAGGGGCTCGTGGTGAACGACTGTCACGCCGAAATCGTCGCGCGGAGGGCGTTTCTCCGCTTCTTGTACTCGCAGCTAGAGCTCCTTCTCAGGTAAGGCATACGTGTTCCCGAAGCACGTTACCTTTACTCATCCATGTAAATCACTCTTATTTCCATTTTGAAAGTTCAGCAAAGGTGTGTCAGGTAGAAAATTCATTAAGAGGCACCAGGCACGGGGACGTCAATCACTCTCTTATCATACACACCCTCGTCTTTCACCAATTTCTGTACGGCCTAATTATTCTTTAATTAAGACTACCACGTTAGGTTAATGAATCCAATGTGATATATTAATTAACCTACCTAAGTGAGGAAATCCAGCCCTTCAGGTGATTACAGGTGAAATTGCAGCAGATATTTACTACACAGTTTGCAGGACTGACAGAGAGAAGCATCAATGCTTTACCACTTCTGACTGTGTTCTTAGCCACTGCGCCCCCTGCTGCTGGTCCTTAGAGTATGCAGTTATCCATCCCAGGACAAGCAAGAATCACATCTAGTTAAAATCAGCTTGAATAAAATAAAATAAACACTGTACTCATTCTATCTTGTCTGTTTTTCTTGTATGCAAAAAGCAAGCGACAGGAGGACAAGGAGAGATCGATCTTCATGTGGCGTCAGGAGGGGTACCGGCTCCGGGAAAGCGTCATGTTCCATATGTACATCAGCACGTCACCCTGCGGCGATGCCCGGCTCAACTCGCCCTATGAGACCACGGCGGACCGTAAGGAGGGCGCAGGGGGTGTGTTGGGGGGGGCGCCGGGCCAACTCTCAGTGCGAAACCCCAGACCCCCTCAGTCTGGTGGTCCGTCACACGGGAATACTGTGTTTGCTGCATCGTTCACAAAGCAGAAACAGTCATCATCTCTGTTCCCCGTTGCCGCTTTGCTCTCTGCGACTCACTGAGCTGCTCTTGTCATTTCTGTTTTCTTGTTGTCCCCATTTTTTGTGTGTGTTTGTTAGCGAGATCTTGACAGATCTCGTATCTTCGGCACGGCACCGTCTGCATCTTTTCCTGGGGAAAAAGGAACACGAAGTCTGTGGATAAGGATGTTTTGTAAAAGCCGGGCTTTACCTGTCTGGCAGTCACACTTTAAACACATCTTTGAATCGGCGAGGAGGCGTCGGAGATCTTCTCAGTCTCGCTAGAGCATTTGGGACCTAACTTTAGAGACGCATTCGGCCGCACAGTCAGCTCAGAACTGCATACGCGTTCACCGATTGATACAGCTGAATACTGTAGTGCAAAAAATCCAGGCTGAATTCCTATCTCGGAGCTTCAGCAGCAATACCCACTGGGATACAACTTAACAACCTTCAGGTCAGAAGTCCAAATGTTAAACCAGCTGGGCTTTACCAATAAGCTTCAGCATGTAGCTCCTCGGGTTTGTTTACCCTGAAGCAGATGAGGTGACCTTCCATCCCAGCATACCTTAGTGACCAGGCTTTGGTGTCCATGCTTGGTGTTCAACCCACCCCATTTACTTTGGGTTATACAGCCTCATTCCCTTCCTGCTCCGCCCCACAGCATTGCATTAGCTTACACATGAGAGCTTTTCAGTTCCGAAGAGCATTTGTTAAATCAGGGGTGTCCGACCCCGATTCTCAGGGGGCTGGTGCTCTCAGCCTTTCCTTCCAGCTGCACACCGGAGCACTTGACTGAATGAATTACCGCACTAATTGAACTAATTTCGCCTACTCTCTCTGCGCGGACATTGTTAGCACCCCGTGGCTCCTAAGGATGGAGACAGAGCACCAGAGGTGTATTCTAATATGTAGAAATATTAGTTCCTGAGCCTTAAAGTTAACGTGTTTCAATTGAACAAATTTTCGGCCTCGTATGTCGTATGTCGACGCAAAATGAAGATCTAATTTAAAATCCCCAGCTTACTGAATCTGGAAAACCATTTGTCAGGGATCAGTAGAGGGACATTTGGATGGTGCTTTTTCTCAAGACTGTAGGGCTGAAATGCTGCACCTGGCGTTTCTGATTGGACGATGCTCCTGTTCATGTCTCTTCATGTCATCCAATCCCCGGCCTGCAGCGCATCGGCAGCTGCGCCCGGTGAGGAGGTGCCGTGCCCATCTGCGGACAAAGGTGGAGTCCGGCGAGGGCACGCTGCCCGGGCGTTCCCGCCAGGCCGCCCAAACGTGGGACGGGGTCCTGCAGGGCGAACCTCTAGCCACCATGTCGTGCACCGACAAGATTGCAAGGTAAGCAGGCAGGATGGTGGGTGGAGCCAGTGCGGATGTGGAACGGGGTCAAGGAGCAGGCAACTTGACTAGTAACCAGATGACTGTGGGCTTTCAAATCCTGGGATATAGATGCAGAATCCTGGAAGAGAGACCACACCGTCTTTTGAAAATTACCGTAAATCCTCTAATCAAAGAGCATGGGCACATTTTCAGGATGTGTAGAATGTGACATTTTGTCTGGGGAAGGAATTTTCTAAGTAAATTCCAGGGAAAAATCCAGCACACTGTCCAAACTAACCAAGTGTCTCTCTGCGTGTTGGCATAGGGATGAACGATGTTTTCAGTACACATGCTGACCGCTTTCCCACCTCCCACCTCCCGGGGGGGGGTGAAATGGCTCTTTGTTGGAAAAAGATTTGACTTTTCAGTGACATTTCAGCAGTGGAAAGGCTGTAAAATGTATTGATCAAAGGTTTAGCTTTATTAAGGGATTTACCTTTTATTAAAGACTAGTCAGAGCTGATCTCTGTTTAAATAGTGCCTTATTATGAGGGACAGAGGGAATTAGGACAGGGTGTGGAAGGTGTCTGTGGGCCATATATGGACCAGAGGTGTTAGTATGGTGTTCTTAACTAGTTGGGAGGCTTTTAGAATCTTCATCTTATTGAAGTAACCCAATAATTCTAAGGGAAAGTCCTAAAATCCTGGTCTAATTAACTTGGGGGAAGTGCAACGTTTGGAAAACCACGTCAGCCTTTGTGTCGCATGGGGTTTGTGTCACTTAGGAACCTTCCTGTCCCAGAGTTTGGTGACAGGGAAACTTTAATTTTTTTCTTATTAGTTTTAGTTAGTTATAAAAGTGTTTTTTATTAATTTTTATTTGTATTTTAAATATATATTTCAATTTAGTTTTTATGTATTTTAGTTTCAGGTAAAGTTTTAGTAATTCTATTTCTAGGGATATACTAGCTATTTTAGAGAATCCTACATGAATACACAGTGCAGAGTATGTACTAATGTCTTCAAAATGTGCAGAACATGTTCCAGGTATTATTGATGGGCATTAAAGACAAGCACATCAGCTAAATTGTATTACGAAATGGCAACAGAAAGTGCTTTATGTTTGCTTTATTTAATTTGTTAGTTTCAGAAGTGATATTTATCATTTCAATCAGTTGTAGTTTTTTTTATGTTATTCTCGTATCTTATTTTATTTCAGTTTCGCAGAATGTTTTGTTGTAGTCGTAGTGTTGGTTTTCGTTAAAGCTAATAGCCCGGATGGTGATTCTCGGCACCGTGCAGCCCGACCGATGAGCGAGATGCTGCTGGGGCTGAGCCTAGGAGACTGGGGGGCAGGGGTGTGCTTCCCAAACTGTGGCCGCACGTCTCTGAACAGCAGGGTTCCGCTTTTAGGGTGCCATAGCTCTTCAAAGAGCCCTTATTGTGACGGACAAGCAGCGGCAGGTGGTGCAGCTAGTGCGTTTCAACTATGGTAGCCCTAAAACCAGAACTTAACATGTCCTGCTGCTGTGCCACCGTTTGTCCTGCCGTCCGAAGCAGCACCATCACCTGCCTGCCATCACCTGCCTGCCATCACCTGCCTGCCATCACCTGCCT